CAAACAGCAAAAGCTAGGAACGATGCCATACAATTAAGAACACTTAAGAAAGGTCAAATGATCAGACACACGATTGTTTCCATTTATCTATTGTAATCGTGCAATGTCTGGCAATCTTATGATTTATGTTCAAATAGCCTCCTATTTATGGGTCGATCACCTCTGTTATCTTCATGTTTGGTGAGATATAGTAAAGCATAGTGTCCTGCTCTAACGAGTACCTCCATATGACAGGCGAAAGCTCAGTAAGGAAATATCGGGGTCGCCCGACAATGAGCTGAGGGCTCGTTTGCACAACTCTAGACACAGCTCCAATGCCCCTTAGGCTTCTGGTGAGGCCAACTTATGAATACCTTCAACTTGCCTATTCGAAATGAAGGGCACTCCAGCATGCCAGCAAAGCTCTTGCTATGCAAGATGTATAGGCTTATTTAAAGTTTTTTAGGCCTCTCAATAGGTTTTATAACAATATAATAATTTAATAGTTCTAGTCATCATAGGTCTCATAAAGTAATTAAAAAGTGAAATTTGAATTTTTCCTACAATTATATGAGTAGGCTTTATTTTTCAATTGGACTTCACTTAGCCCTGCTCATCATAACATATTATCATGGGGTAGACTGAAATTTCGACCTTACATGGGTCTCATTGGCAGCCTTCGTAGATTAAAATACTTTCTGGGAAGCAAGGCTATGTGAAATTAATGAAAGACGTGAGATCTACTTAGTTAAGTTAAGAAAAATTTAACTTTTGGTCCTTCATCGCCTTATGTGACCTAGGGTGACTAGAACTTTTACTGACCATTTAATGACAGGTTCGAAAAGCTACCTTGCTTTAATATAATCATATACCTTCAATGATGATACGCTAGTTTATTTATGTAAGGAAGCAGGCGCCACCGAATCCACTTCTGGTTTTATGAATTAACTTCATTCACCTGTGGTCATGTTGAGCAAGTTTGAGGTAGCCAATCAAATCATGGGGTCCCTTATGAAAGCCACAAAGGATAGGTGTATAAAAAATGACTAGTTGCAGCTTGCCATCTTTTCTCTTAGTTTAGTATGTTTTTTACGCTATTTCGTAAAGTATGGATTCTTGCTCTGATTATTTCTGTCACAGTAGAGACGAAAGCTTAGCATAAGTTCATGGAAGTCGCAAGACGGTGAGCCGAGGACTTCTTCGCACAAACCAGCAATCTTCACCCTGCGGCGATCATCCCTTATTTTCCGGTGAGATCATTTCACGAATTGCTTCCAACCAACTTTTTCTTCGAAATGGAAAGTCGTATCACAAAATATTGCAAAGGAATTCTTCGAAATCAACTTGTAAGTCATATAATCAGATAGTTTGTCTATTGGAGAGTAAATGAAATGATCTTTACAGCCCATAGCATGAAGCACAAAATGCATAGTAAATCGTGCCCACCGATTTCTAAAGAAAAATACCAAATAATGCAAAATAGTATAGCCATGTTTTGGCCTACCTCGATGAAAGAAAACTCTTAAGGTTATTAATCCAAATATCCTCTCCCCAGAAGCTCAGTTCCGATAGATATATTATGACGAAGAATGGTTGTTAGCTTTTGACGAGGTATATCAAAATGGAAAGCTCAGTGGAAACAGAACGCGAATTAAATTTTCGTATAAATTAATAAGCATAACACCATGGAAGCCCCTAGACTATTGATGAGACCAACTTAAAAAATCCATCCCACCCAATCCTCTCATCGAAATAAAGTCTAGTGGAGCAAAATTATTAAGGGATTTTTCGAAACGCGAATGTCCTACTTTCGTATGTCCTAGTAGCATAATGCGAAGTTAATCACTATGACTTGAAGAGAAGACATGATTTTGTATTGAAATTCGCTGCAACCTGAATTCCAAAAACCCTCCTTTTCTAGAATGTACTATAAGTTCAAATTCCCTCCATCGCCGCATGGGCATCTTCAATGGATTTCGAGGTCGAGATATGCGGATTCAAAGAAAAGTAGGTTGCCGCTAGAGATTGTGAAGTTAAACAGAAGTTGCAGTCCACCTAGAACAAGAAGAACCTTGTTGGATGCATGCATGGCTTGATTGGTCTAACGTACTTAAGAGTTTCCAAGTTGCCTGATTGCATAAGGACTCTGAGCCGAATTATTTTTAAATCTATTAATCAAGAGGCCAAAATCCTCGACGCAATACTAAATGCCCCCTGTGTTGTTGTGTGAGTATGATTTTTGGTTAGAACCATACGTGTAAGCTGAAATTCGTATTACTATATTATTACTATGTGTGCAATCATTAAACTCTGAACTTATTGGAGTCATTTTGGTATAAAGCTTTATCAAAAATATTCATTTGGAGAAATTGCCAGCCCAAAACGAAAGTAAAGTCTAAAAGAGAGTGCCTTGTTGGGATTTATGGCACCGTGAATTTCACCGTAAAATCGAATCTTCTTAATCTCTCACGGATGCTTGTAACACTACATGGCAAATGGTGTAGCATATACTCAAACTGGTTTTGAACACGCATTATCGATACGTACCTGATTTTTGCTCTTCCACTGTCAATAACATAACGAATGTGGGGAATCGTAATGGATGTTTCGGCTATGTTGGTACTGACGATCACTTTACGTACACCCTGAGATTAAAAGAATGATGCAAGGGAACTTGAAAAGCTTAAAAAATATATAATTTGCTCAATACTAAAGGAATAGCTCAATGAATTAATCATAAAGGCTGAATTGAAAAGCATAAATGTTTTATTTAATAATATTACTCAGAAATGATTGATAATGGATCTTTATCTAACATATAGTAGCTATATAATCAAGAAAAAATCCAAATTATATATGAAATGATCTAAAAATTACCAAAATGCTGGTCGAATAATTCATAACATAGGTACGATAAATAAACAAAAGATAAATAATTTATTTTTATCTTCATTTTATCTACTTTTAATTCATTAGTATGTTTGTAATGCAAGGAAAGGAACGAGTTGCAAAGACGCTTCATCAGAAAGAGATAAAGGTGAGCCATAAGAGTTCCACTTACCCTAGTTCGCATAAGGCGAT